GAATTTTCACACACGGTGTGTATTTTTACCAATGAAGTAAATTTGAAAAGTGCCTTCAGCATGGCTTTTGCAAATATTTTTTGACAAGTTAACGCTTAATTTTATTGTAAATTTAAATGGGGGTGATTTTTTTCCATTAACTAATGTAAATTTGAAAAGTAGGTTTAGTATGGATTTTGTGAATATATTTTTTAAAAAATTGTCGTATTAAAATTCCAAGCAGTAAGCAAAAAACATTGTAAAATTATCATTACTTTTAGCAGTTTGTTTACTTGCACATAAAACTTAAGTCCCATTCGACTTAAATGCAGCCTACCTGCAATCCAGTTGTACTTGGTAACTAATTACACTTGGATTACCATGATGCAGTTAATAAGATAATTACCTGTTTGGATTATAAATCATATAAAATATTTAATGGAAATAAAAATATTGTAAATTGTGGTACTCTAAATAATGCCTCTTGATGAATAGTACATGTGTGCCAAGCAAGATTTGCGCGGTAGTTACAATCAAAATTCCATGTATTAGAACTTCGCTATCCACAAAACATATCAACATCATATTATCTAATAACATTGGTTCAGGTAAAATTAGGGTACAGTGTGCCGATTACACCTAAAGCCTAACAGGTACACAATATAAAATATCTTTTATTATGGACGTATATCCGTCATTGAAATCCAAATAATTTAAAAGACTTGGGGTTGCCCTATTTTCTGGAATTTTATGCTGGCCTGCAGGTGTGCGTAAGTTGTTTTTTGTGCCATCCAATCCAAACCAAATATAACCGGCGGTCTTTACTAGTGAAAATCTGGTAGAAATAGTGACTACGTCATGTTTAGAGCTATGCTTTACCACTTGAATCAGAATTGATCAAAAAAGTTAGCTTTCGTGGGAATATTTATTATTGCAAAATCAATAAAAAACACATTTTAAAAATATTTTTTCCTTCTACCCTGACCTGAAAATTTCCGTTGCAGGGATATTAACTAAGGAAATTGGTGTTTTATAAACATTAATATGAAATAATTAATTATTAATGGTTAAGTTAACTTGCTAACCATCTTTTGATGTGTTAAGATACCAAAAAAAAAGGTACGGTCGTAGTCCAATTTAGGTTAAAGTGAGTGACAATTGAAAAATGGACGGACAGTGACCACGTGTCCTGATTCATCAATATAATTGGTAAAATTTGCTAGATTCATAGCAAAATTACATTTTATTGGAATTTTCACACACGGTGTGTATTTTTACCAATGACGTAAATTTGAAAAGTGCGTTTAGCATGGCTTTTGTAAATATTTTTTGTATTAAAATTCTATGCAGTGAGCAGAAAATATTGCAAAATAAAAATACTTTCAAAAGTAAAAAAATTGACTTTATAATTTAATACAATATTAAAATATAACATTCGATAAAATAATTAATAATATAAGATATATTTAATGTTTTATATTATTAAGAATGGAAAACCTCAACGAAATTGAAATATAAATGTAAATCTGCTTATGCAATGAGCAGAAAATATTGTAAAATCATCAATGCTTTTCCCAGTTTGTTTACTTTATCAATTTTCGACCGTAATATCGGGGTCAACCATTAAGTTCCATTCGACTTAAATGCAATTTACCTGAACTTGCAACTAATTACGTCGGGATTACTATGGTGCAGGTAATAGTACAATTACCTCTTCGGATTATATATAAAGCCCAAAACGTCGAAATAAATCATTCAATTTCAATCTAACCTTCGACCATAATGGACCGTTTTGATTCGACCACCTCCGAGTCTGATTTCCCGAGAACGTCTTCGCCGAAGCGAAAAAATGTCAGTTGCGATGACGATAAGAAGTACAGAATTTTTGTTAATGTCCTGGAGCAACCTCGGAAATATTTCCGTCTCAGTGGGATCCGAGAGTACAAAGGAGGTCTTCTCTGCGGGAACGTAGTGATGAGGAAGTGATCTCTGCGTGATAGAACGACTCGACAATTTACCTAAAGTCTAGGTATTCCGGAACAGGCTCTAAAGGCTACGCAAGTCTAAGTACAGCAACAGGATCAACATGGTTGTTTGTCCAACCATGAAGAACGGAATCGTATGATGAACGAAATCCCAGTGTATATTATTTGCTTTGCATGATTGTAATTAATTATAATAAAATAAAATATAATAAAGTTCTAAATTACTACCACCATTTTCTTTCATATTCCCAGTATCCTTAAGTAAGTAAAAAACTACCAAGGATTTGCATTTTCAACCTGATTATTATATACTTGTGTTGTAACCTCAACACGTTCTTCTATCGAAAAGACTATAAGAGTCATTCAAAATAACAGATTAAGTTGGGTTAATCATATCGAGGCAGTTTGCAAGAAACTGAACAGCGGATATAATGGCGTTTAAAACCTCAGGGTTTCGCTTCTAATATGCGTCAGCCATACGAGTTGGCCCTAACACAAAATTTTCTTGGAAGCGGTCTAAGCTTCGATTAGATTAAGTGAAAAGTTTCGTTGTAATTTCTGCGCCTAAGGAAATGGAGAAATACGAGAAAACAATGCTGAACACGAAATTCGATTTCAGATTCTTCATGTACGAGAAAATCTAAGAAACTTCAATTTTATTTCACGAATTTTGAATTGACTTTTTTGCAGATGTTTAGGATATGGACTGATTGACAGTCACGTATAACATAAAACCTGTCCGGACTTTAAAGTTAATCCAATGGAAAATTGAATATTCTAAAATAGATAATTATGACACCCTTTCTGCTAACTTTTATAGTTTAAAAATACTTTCGAAAGTAAAAAATTAACTTTATAATTTAATACAATATTAAAATATAACATTCGATAAAATAATTAATAATATAAGATATATTGAATGTTTCATATTATTAAGAATGAAAAAAGTCAATGAAATTGAAATATAAATGTAAATATGCTTATGCAATGAGCAGAAAATATTGTAAAATCATCATTACTTTTACCAGTTTGTTTACTTTAGCAATTTTCGACCGTAATATCGGGATCGACCATTAAGTCCCATTCGACTTAAATGCAGCTTACCTGCACTGGCAACTAATTACGTTGGGATTACTATGGTGCAGTTAATAATATAATTACCTCTTCGGATTATATATAAAGCCCACCACGTCTAAATAAATCATTCAATTTCAATCTAACCTTCGTCCATAATGGACCGTTTTGATTCGTCCACCTCCGAGTCTGATTTCCGGAGAACGTCTTCGCCGAAGCGAAAAAATGTCAGTTGCGATGACGATAAGAAGTACAGAATTTTTGTTAATGTCTTGGAGCAACCTCGGAAATATTTCCGTCTCAGTGGGATCCGAGAGTACAAAGGAGGTCTTCTTTGCGGGAACGTAGTGATGAGGAAGTGATCTCTGCGTGATGGAACGAGGTGACAATTTACCTAAATTCTAGGTATTCCGGAACAGGCCCTAAAGGCTATGCAAGTCTAAGTGCAGCAACAGGATCAACATGGTTGTTTGTTCAACCATGAAGAACGGAATCGTATGATGAAGGAAATCCCAGTGTATATTGTTTGCTTTGCATGATTGTAATTAATTATAATAAAATAATATATAATAAAGTTCTAAATATCTGCCATCATTTTATTGAATTGATTATTATCCACTTGTGTTGTAACTTCCTTCGATAGCTCAGTAATAGTTAGTATTCGGGTGTTACGGGGGAAGCGCTCCCTTTTTCTTCAATTGCTTGTTTCTGACTTTAAGGTAAAAAATTGATGGCACTGGGTAACGGTACTAACTAGTTTAAAACTACCTGTGTCCATCTTTATACACTGTATAGTCAAGAAATCAAGAATTTTGGAAGAATATCAACACGTTTTTCTACCGAACAGACTGTAAGAGTCATTCAAAATTAAATTGGGTTGATCATATCGAGATAGTTTGCAAGAAACTGAAAAGCTGTTATAATGGCCTTTAAAAGCTCAACATGTCGATAAACAAGGTTTTTTACAAGGTATCATATGATGACGTTACTGAAAGTGATTGTGCCTTTATTTCGTAAAAAAGAATCATTATTAATGTTTAAAATAAAATTAATATACGTTTTATATTATGATCTGTTTTTTTTTTTTATTTTCTATGGGTTAAAACATTGTAAAATTGTACTGGATTTTATATATAAACCATTTAGATATTTATGCTTTTTGCCATTGCTTCTTGACATGTGCAACAATGTATTTGTAATTTGTATTTGTAATCCTTCGATAATACTTTCTACATTGGGATTGAGAACTAAATCTAAACAATTTCTCGATTGTGCATATATTTTTTACGAATAAATCCTAGGCTAATATTATCATGCAAACGAGCAAGGCGATAACTTTAAATAATATAGTCGCGTAAGCATATCCTCCATCTAAACGAGCTCGGCGGTGTGGGCCAGTAATGGTGTTTACTCTAGAAACCTCATTTGGGGCTATTAATTCGCATTTCCGATAAGAAAATCCTATTTCCTAGTAGTGAAGGCAAGATTTGTCTCGTGTCGCTTGTATTATGTTACGAACGATTACCAATGCGAAAATGTAGTACAACACTTGTTGACCAAGTAGACAGATAGAATTATTACTTAGGAATATACTTAACCACATTCTAAAGCAGGTGGGAAATTATTAGGTCAAAATCTTGGTGACTCAGATTCAGGCTTTTATAGCTTTAAATCCACAATAATTATTGTTATCATAAAAAAACTTAATAAAATTTATGTATAGGTGAGTTATAAAATTAAATCGAAAGGATCAAGCTTCCAAATCAGTATCACAGAAACAGGACGAAATCAGCTCGTAAAACGCGACAGCAATGCAACCAGATCTGAGATATTCAATGATCATTACATTGTTAACTTCTTTTAATATCTTTTTTCTTTATAAATTGTGTTCCATTTACAAAAACATTTTTCAAGAACGAGTTTTACAATTACATTTGATGTTCAGCAAATAGTTATGCTTACCCAACATATTAGGAAGACGCCCATTATAATTCCCACTGTGATGGCCGCCTTGTGATCGCTCACGTGATACGGCGAACTTTGATGATTGTGAAGGTGTATGTGAAGAGCCTTGTTCTTCTGTTTAACGCTCTTCTTCTTTTTCGTTGAATTGGGCAAGTCTATCGGTCTTGTAATGGCCCGGATGCTTTTCACGTGTTTCTGCGCGTAGCAGTATAATCTGCAGTATATACCTGTAAGGACACACGTTTGGCTATAGCTGTTTTTCTAAAAACCGTTATTTTATTTTACAAGTGTTTTTTCATTAACTGAAAAGTAAATTTATATTATAGTTTTGTACCACAACAGAGACTAAATTGAATTGGACCAAACTCCTATATCGATATAATTTTATTTTATTTTATAGCGTTCTACGTCATAAGTTCGATGCTGTCAACAACAGCGATTTAGATTAGTTTTCGAAGTTTAGGAAGTTCGCGAGATTGGATTTCAAATTCTTGCCTTTTCAGATTATTAACTTTCAAAAATCCCATTCGAAACCACATACAGCCTATTTGTTAGCCGCATATTACGATCAATGCAGCATTGTAAACCTTAAAAGTAAACATACAAAATTATTCTCTGGTCGGGAGGGATTGTTATTATTGTTATTCGTCTCGTTTTATTTTCTGGAACAATTGCTTAGTATTTTATAGAAAATATGACAAAGCGATATCGAAATGATTGCTTGCCGATGTTTTGTTTGTCCAAGGAAAACATGAAATGAAGCACGAGAAAGCACTCGTTCATTTCAGGAATTAAAAACTTTTTTTTTTATATAGAGGTTTCAAGATATGCAGTTCAATAATTAATATTCCTATATTATTATGAAACACGGATATCTGGTACCGAAGATAGTAAACCTGCGGTTAATTTTTGAGATACCATCCGTCAAATTCGTGAGATATACGGCGGATCAGGGTATCGCTGCTAATATGCGTCAGTAACACAAGTCGGCCCTAATACAAAAATTTCTTGGAATCCGGCTAAGCTTCGATTAAGACTTTCGTTGTTATTTCTGTTCCTAAGGAAATGGAGAAATACGAGAAAACAATGTTGAACACGAAATTCGATTTCAGATATTTCAAGTACGAGGAAATCTAAGAAACTTCAATTTTATTTCACGAATTTTTAATTGACTTTTTTACAAATGTTTAGGATACGGACTTATTGATAGTCACGTATAACATAAAACCTGTCTGAACTTTAAAGTTAATCCAATGGAAAATTGAATATTCTAAAATAGATAATTATGACACCCTTTCTGCTAGCTTTTATAGTTTAAAAATACTTTCAAAAGTAAAAAATTAACTTTATAATTTAATACAATATTAAAATATAACATTCGATAAAATAATTAATAATATAAGATATATTGAATGTTTTATATTATTAAGAATGGAAAACCTCAACTAAATTTGAATATAAATGTAAATCTGCTTATGCAATGAGCAGAAAATATTGTAAAATCACCATTACTTTTACCAGTTTGTTTACTTTATCAATTTTCGACCGTAATATCGGGGTCGACCATTAACTCCAATTCGACTTAAATGCAGCTGACCTGCACTGGCAACTAATTACGTTGGGATTACTATGGTGCAGTTAATAATATAATTACCTCTTCGGATTATATATAAAGCCCGTTGAAATAAATCATTCAATTTCAATCGAACCTTCGACCATAATGGACAGTTTTGAATCGTCCACTTCCGAGCCTCATTTCCCGAGAACGTGTTCACCGAAGCGGGAAAATGTCAGTTGCGAAGACGATAAGAAGTACAAAATTTTTGTTAAAGTCCTGGAGCAACCTCGGAAATATTTCCGTCTCAGTGGGATCCGAGAGTACAAAGGAGGTCTTCTCTGCGGGAACGTAGTGATGAGGAAGTGATCTCTGCGTCATGGAACGAGGTGACAATTTACCTAAATTCTAGGTATTCCGGAACAAACCCTAAAGACTACGCAAGTCTAAGTACAGGAACAGGATCAACATGATTGTTTGTCCAACCATGAAGAACGGAATCGTATGATGAACGAAATCCCAGTGTTTATTGTTTGCTTTGCATGATTGTAATTAATTATAATAAAATAATATATAATAAAGTTGTAAATTACTACCACCATTTTCATTCATATTCCCAGTATCCAAGTATCTTCAACACGTTCTTCTATCGAAAAGACTATAAGAGTCATTCAAAATAACAGATTAAGTTGGGTTAATCATATCGAGGCAGTTTGCAAGAAACTGAACAGCGGATATAATGGCGTTTAAAACCTCAGGGTTTCGCTTCTAATATGCGTCAGCCATACGAGTTGGCCCTAACACAAAATTTTCTTGGAAGCGGTCTAAGCTTCGATTAGATTAAGTGAAAAGTTTCGTTGTAATTTCTGCGCCTAAGGAAATGGAGAAATACGAGAAAACAATGCTGAACACGAAATTCGATTTCAGATTCTTCATGTACGAGAAAATCTAAGAAACTTCAATTTTATTTCACGAATTTTGAATTGACTTTTTTGCAGATGATTAGGATATGGACTTATTGACAGTCACGTATAACATAAAACCTGTCGGGAAAGTTAATCCAATGGAAAATTGAATATTCTAAAATAGATAATTATGACACTTTTTCTGCTAGCTTTTATAGTTTAAAAATACTTTGAAAAGTAAAAAATTAACTTTAAAATTTAATACAATATTAAAATATAACATTGGATAAAATAATTAATAATATAAGATATTTTGAATGTTTTATATTATTAAGAATGGAAAACCTCAACGAAATTTAAATATAAATGTAAATCTGCTTATGCAATGAGCAGAAAATATTGTAAAATCACCATTACTTTTACCAGTTTGTTTACTTTATCAATTTTCGACCGTAATATCGGGATCGACCATTAAGTCCCATTCGACTTAAATGCAGCTTACCTGCACTTGCAACTAATTACGTTGGGATTACTATGGTGCAGTTAATAATATAATTACCTCTTCGGATTATATATAAAGCCCAACACGTCTAAATAAATCATTTAATTTCAATCTAACCTTCGACCATAATGGACCGTTTTGATTTGTCCACCTCCGAGTCTGATTTCCCGAGGACGTCTTCGCCGAAGCGAAAAAATGTCAGTTGCGATGACGATAAGAAGTACAGAATTTTTGTTAATGTCCTGGAGCAACCTCGGAAATATTTCCGTCTCAGTGGGATCCGAGAGTACAAAGGAGGTCTTCTCTGCGGGAACGTAGTAATGAGCAAGTGATCTCTGCGTGGTGGAACGAGGTGACAATTTACCTAAATTCCAGGTATTCCGGAACAGGCCCTAAAGGCTACGCAAGTATAAGTACCGCAACAGGATCAACATGATTGTTTGTCCAACCATGAAGAACGGAATCGTATGATGAACGAAATCCCAGTGTATATTGTTTGCTTTGTATGATTGTAATTAATTATAATAAAATAAAATATAATAAAGTTCTAAATTAGTACCACCATTTTCTTTCATATTCCCAGTATCCTTAAGTAAGTAAAAAACTACCAAGGATTTGCATTTTCAACCTGATTATTATATACTTGTGTTGTAACCTCAACACGTTCTTCTATCGAAAAGACTATAAGAGTCATTGAAAATAGCAGCGGATATAATGAGCTAAAACCTCAGGGTTTCGCTTCTAATATGCGTCAGCCACACGAGTTGGCCCTAACACAAAATTTTCTTGGAAGCGTCTAAGCTTCGATTAGGTTAAGTGGAAAGTTTCGTTGTAATTTCTGCGCCTAAGGAAATGGAGAAATACGAGAAAACAATGCTGAACACGAAATTCGGTCTCAGATATTTCAAGTACGAGGAAATCTAAGAAACTTCAATTTTATTTCACGAATTTTGAATTGACTTTTTTACAAATGTTTAGGATATGGATTTATTGATAGTCACGTATAACATAAAACCTGTCCGGACTTTAGAGTTAATCCAATGGAAAATTGAATATTATAAAATAGATAATTATGACACCCTTTCTACTAGCTTTTATAGTTTAGAAATACTTTCAAAAGTAAAAAATTAACTTTATAATTTAATACAATATTAAAATATAACATTGGATAAAATAATTAATAATATAAGATATTTTGAATGTTTTATATTATTAAGAATGGAGAACCTCAACGAAATTTAAATATAAATGTAAATCTGCTTATGCAATGAGCAGAAAATATTGTAAAATCATCATTACTTTTACCAGTTTGTTTACTTTACCAATTTTCGACCGTAATATCGGGATCGACATTCGACTTAAATGCAGCTTACCTGCACTTGCAACTAATTACGTTGGGATTACTATAATTACCTCTTCGGATTATATATAAAGCCCAACACGTTGAAATAAATCATTCAATTTTAATCGAACCTTCGACCATAATGGACAGTTTTGAATCGTCCACTTCCGAGCCTCATTTCTGGAGAACGTCTTCACCGGAGCGGCAAAATGTCAGTTGCGATGACGATAAGAAGTACAAAATTTTTGTTAAAGTCCTGGAGCAACCTCGGAAATATTTCCGTCTCAGTGGGATCCGAGAGTACAAAGGAGGTCTTCTCTGCGGGAACGTAGTGATGAGGAAGTGATCTCTCCGTGATGGAACGACTCGACAATTTACCCAACAGAACAGGCTCTAAAGGCTACGCAAGTCTAAGTACAGCAACAGGATCAACATGGTTGTTTGTCCAACCATGAAGAACGGAATCGTATGATGAACGAAATCCCAGTGTATATTATTTGCTTTGCATGATTGTAATTAATTATAATAAAATAAAATATAATAAAGTTCTAAATTACTACCACTATTTTCTTTCATATTCTCAGTATCCTTAAGTAAGTAAAAAACTACCAAGGAATTGCATTTGCAACCTGATTATTATAACTTCAATACGTTTTTCTATCGAAATGATTGTAAGAGTCAATGAAAATAGCAGCTTAAATTGGGTGGATCATACGAGTATTGAGACAGTTTGCAAGAAACTGAACAGCGGTTATAATGGGTTAAAACCTCAGGGTTTCGTTGCTAATATGCGTCAGCCACACGGCCCTAATGCAAAATTTTCTTGGAAGCCGTCTAAGCTTCGATTAACCTAGGTGAAGAGTTTCGTTGTAATTTCTGTGCCTAAGGCAATGGAGAAATACGAGAAAACAATGCTGAACACAAAATTCGGTTTCAGATATTTCAAGTAGGAGGAAATCTAAGCATCTTCAATTTTATTTCACGAATTTTGAACACATAAAACGTAAAACCTGTAAGGACCTTAAAGTTAATCCAATGGAAAACTAAGTTACTCCAGAACAGATAGGCTGTAGTCTGCGGTACAATTGAAGAAGAGTAAGCGAATAGATAAGTATGATATCTGCTACCTTTTATAGTTTAAAAATATTTTGAAAAGTCAAAAATGAACTTTATAGTTTAACGTAATAATACTATAATATAGTGTTAATCATAGAATTTCCGGAATAATAATAATTAAAATTATATATTAAGAATAAAAAACCTCAACGAAATTTAAAAATAAATGAAAATATGCTTAGGTATTATTTTTGTTAGACCTCGGCGTCAGATTATATTATTAATCTTTTAAGATCGTTTTTTTTCTTAGATGGTTTTGTTGGTGCGGTACTATTTGTTGCTCTTTATATTTTTTAGACATAATTTTATTGAGGATTCGAGTAACTCGAAAAGTTTTGTAATGATTGAAAAAATACAGTGCTTTTATATCGAGGTCCGGCTTTGTATATTTTGATTTTAAACATTAATACAAAGAATGTACCCACTAGAGAAATGAAAATATTATTTTTTAAACATAAATATAACTTAGCACCATGTTTTTTTTAAGTTTTAGGTTTGCAGCAAAATGTCATTGAAAATTGGGACTTTGTGTATATCAACTTTTAACTTTTAATAGGAAGCAACTAAAAAATTTTAGGGATAGAGAAAAACTAAACAAATTAAACACACGTCAATTTCTTTCTTTAATATTCAAAAATTGTGTTGTTTCAAATATTAAAAACCAATCGATTACGACAATTGGGAAAATAAAGGTTTCACACCCGTCTTCCAATATTGATGGAAGGAGGAACAATTTACTAATTTTGCAGTCGCAGTGTTGCCGGATCTGCTCCTCACAAGATTACCACCGTATTAAGCGTGTCGTCTAATCTAAATTTCATACATACCCAACATAACAATGCACGGCACGTAGAAGGAGATGCAACTAGAGACGACCGCATAAGTGGGAGTGAGGTCGAGGGCACAGGTGGGGTAGTTTTGGCCCCCCGAATTGATGACGAAGGGCTGGGGCGGTCGGTGCAGCCCGAGCATAATAGGAACGAAAGAAATGAGTCCGGCGAGAAGCCATATTGCGGCTATGGTAGCTAGAGCGACGCGTCTGGTCACCCATCTTCCATATCTGAAAAGCAGTGAACGTGACGTTAGTTTTGATAAATGCGGACTACAAACGCAAACAGGAGGATGAATTTCGCACGAATTTCTTGCAATCCATTTACGGGTAAATATTATCTAATTAAAAAAAAATCAAAGGGATTTTTTCTAAACTATGTAGATTGAGACGGGTAGTGATGGGGATTATTTTCTTTGACATACACATAAATACCATGTAGAATACCTGCTAATCATACATATAATAAATAATAACTATTTTGTAAAATTTTAAATGTTTGTGGTGCATATTGCTGCAGTAATGTACATTACAGCCAGCAAAAAAGGTTATTTTTTGCTTATTGCATATTACATGATCTGGTTTTGTTTTATAAGTGAAATATGGCTCATGCATATTATATAAAGTATTTCCCTTTTATAATCGAATAAAATGAATTAGTCCTTTGATATTATTACCTTCTTTTCGCCAGAAATAAAAAAAAACATTCTTTAAGTGTATATGTTTAGGTAAAAAAGCCCAAATATTTTGTATCAATGTATCAATTTGTAAGCGCTTTTTTCGAAATTTTTATTTTTATACAAATATTTAAAGAAAATTTTGTTCCATCACCAAATAATATATAAGAATCAAACACAGAGAACATCCGACACTTCTAATCGTATAAAATCACCAAGAGAGAGACAACGATCCCCTTTACTTGCCGCTTTTATCTATTTCAAAATTTGCCTTTTCTATCACGCCATCGGCACTCCGGTTTAGATTGAGTTCGCTGCAGTTATTATAAATTAATTTACGGACAAAACTGCATATTGCCAAAATCCAATTAGTATTAGGATAGAACTCTTGATTCTATTACTTTCGAATCGCTTTGGTCAAAAAAATGGACGAAAATGTAGATATCACCCCCAAAAATCTAAAGCAAGTGAGAGAAAAAAATCCGCACGTTGCTATAGGAATGTCAAGAAGTTTTCGAATTCTGTGAGTTGAAAACTAAAACATCAGGAATTTATTCGATTCGTTATCTTGACAAATGGTGCACACATCGATTTTAAAGTTTTCGCTTTTTGAAGACACATAAAATTCATTTTCTCTTATCGCTAACCAGTTTGTTTAAACAGCATAATAGTATAATAGTTATTATGCAACGATTTTGATAAATTTATTTAAGTCACGAGTTTGATTTGGCTCGTGCCAAGCTCAAAGCAGCGAGTGCTTAACAAACGAGTCCCTAAAGAAGTTTATCGGCGTGTTGCATACTATACTTTTCCTACGATTATTATGAATGAATATATTTCTGCAAAGCAAACTTGATGCATGAAAGTGTCAGTTTCTGTGCGCTTGATTGGTGCATAATTGAGGAGGAAATATTATAATAATATAATATTATTAAATAATATTATATTATTATTTTTAACATATATTATCAGTGCCTTTCTTGATTATAGCCACTTTAAGAAAAATTGAGAAAAAAGCTCTTAATTTACTTTGATATCAATACTATTGATAATAGTTAGTTATTAAGTAATTAATTAATAATTGCTAATAATTTATACTACAGAACATATAATTTGAACAAAATTTTGAAGTAATATACAGACTGTATGGCAAAGTTTTTCGTCTGATTTTGATTATGAAGAAATGGATGTCAGTGTTTTTATGTACGTGATCGATCGATTGTGTTAGCCCCCGAGTTTCGAAACATTATCTATGCCGATTTTAATATAAGAAGCTACTAGTTATAATATGATGTCAAATAAATACGAAAGGTTCTATCTTATCCTACGTATTATTAATTGATAGCAATCGAACTACCCAATTGAAAAATTCTTGTAGAAGGAAATTATATGCAGCAGCAGTTATATGTGTTTCAAGGCCCGTGATTGGTTGAACTTTTATAGAACACTGGAATATTGTTCTGAAAATTAACTCAACAAATCTGCAGGGTCGTGAATTTTAAATGAGAGAAGGAACCAAATCCAAAATTTAGTTAATTTTTCCAATACAGCGTTGTCAGCTCTATCGAAAACCGAGGGCAACGCTGTAATTTCAAATGTCATACTAAAAACAATACCTTGGGTATAGGGTTTCTCTTGTGTTTTTGGATAACTTTCGGCTGCAAATATGAAATTTGAACTGGACAAAATGGAGAGTAGTATGAAATTTGCTGTATTTTTGTTAAATGTTAACAAAATAAACTCACAACTTTCTGTTAAAATTGCACTGCTTTTCGGTGAACATGCTGAAATTGGCAAGAATACAATATTATCTATAATATGACACCCCACGTGAATCACCCTGTATATATTAAAGCATTTTTGGCGTTTCCGAATCATTCAAGACGTGCCTGTCATACATTACATAATTGGGAAGTTTCAGCAAATGCAGGGTTGCCAGATTTACCGAAAACCGAAGGCGACATTGTATCTTTTTTTTTTTTAATTATTAAGCTTGATCGGTTTATAATTGAGGATTTTAAAGTTAGGAGTAACAAAAGACGTATATTTCGTGAAGCATTTCTTAAACTACGTATCGGAAAATCATACTGATATAATTATTACCTTCCACTGCGTTCCCTCGACAACCTAGACATAATTTACGAAAGTTTTGTTCAAAAATGAATAAGTTTTAATGCATTTCCGCTCTGTTTTCACACGATAAGATGCCGCAACCGCAGTATGTGCGCCGTACGTTGAAGAAGTGTTCGGAATGGGGTTTGGAGGCCTGACGTGGCATTTAATGAAGTTTAAGCCCGATTTAGTCAGAATTTGAAATGTTTTAGGTGCGAAAATTCATCCGGGCACGCCTAAGACGAGCGCGGGTTTGAATAAAGTAAAACCGCGCGAATTTCCGGGAGATTTCTCTTGCAAATTAAATGTCGAATAGGAAAGTGCGACGTCGTCTGGTCTCCATGAGTCGCAAATATTATTTCTTCGCGCGGCGTGTCTATTGCTTCTTAATTGCAGCTGTTTCGATCGTATTATGGCGAAACAATTTAAATTTGTCGTCTTAATCACAAAATAATCACCAAACACAAGTGAGGAAGAGACTAGAACATTTTTGATTTGGAGGTGGAGATAAGTGGTGGTAATAATGTATGTAATATGTAATATATGTTAACATTGACCTGTTCTTTGAAAAAATTAATATACGTTCGGTATTAGGCCTACTATAAAAGAGAAGACAAGAGTTTTCCACAACTTTTCGGTAACACCTTAAGGAACATACAGGATGAGTAAATTAAACTGTGGGCCCTTTTCTTTAAAATGCAAACTATCCCAAAACGCAAATAAATTGCCCAAATTTTTATTGTCAACATTTTTAATTTTTTAAATAAATACTTGTGTATGTTTAACACAAACTAATTTACTTCTAAGAAAATGAAACCTTAAAGAAAGGTAGTATCGTGATTAAAGAATGATTTAAGACACTAAAAATAAAATTAACCAATATTCCGCCATAAAGCAATGTGATCTGAGCATGGACTTCCACTGTGTCTCTCATGAACTATTAATAGCGGAATTGACAAAATCTGGTGTGAGGTTTCAACCGACAATTTGGGGTTCCTCGGGGTTCAGTTTCGAGTACTTTGTTATTTGCCATCTACATTAATGATATTAACTTATTCATCTCCCCGTTCAAGGATGTACTGTATTGCGATGATACAACAGGCTCAGCTTCTGGGAAAAGTAGAAATGACTTAATCGAAAATACTGAGCAACTAGAAAAATCGGCAAATACCTGGTTTGAAAATAACGGCCCAATATAATTATAAAACTCCTAAATCTCTCAAGCAACCGATCTGTAACTGATAGTAGCTCAGTCAGCTTACTAGGTTTTGTAATTGATGGCAGGTTAAAATGGTCAGAACACATAAAAAAAGTGAGGTTTCAGCAGTCAATTTGGTGTCCCTCGGGGTTCAGTTTTGATATATTAATGATACAAACTTATTCATCTTCCTATTCAAGAGTGTACTGTATTGCGGAATACAACAGACGCAGCTTCTGGGAAAAATACTAGAAAAATCGGCAAATGCCTGGTTTGAAAATAACGTCCCAAAACTGGACCTTGATAAAACCCTTAAATCTCTCAAGCAACCGATCTGTAACTGATAGTAGCTTATTAAGCTTACAAGCACGGATGCTATTGATGGCAGGAACACATATAAAATTAAAAAGCAAATTTAATTCAAATCTTCTTGTCTTGCGACAATTTGAGAAATTGATTGATATAAAATATAAATTCATAGTGTATAATTCTCTTTTTCACTCTCAATTTGCGCCACGTGTGGGGCAGCTCTTTCTTGCCTTTGCAATTTTTACATTGCAGAAGCAATTATTGATAGACAATAGTTTCCATTACGACTTTTATAATATTTCCAGCATAAATATTAGATCATTGCTTGTATACTATTGCTCAGTACATAGATCAGGCTAAAATTTTATGTCGTTTGTATTTGTATTTGTTTTTTATACTTTATCTGTGTACTTAAATGTACCCAATTACTAATCTAATTTATATGGTACTTTTTTTTTCTTGACTTCCTAATATTACTTTATTGTGAACAACAAATTTGTAAGGAACTATACCGATAAATGGACAAATTGTACACAGTGTCAGGTACTGCGACGATAACAAACTCAGAGGCACATTAATTAATTAATGAATAGGATGATATAATACTAAAATATGGTCTCGCACTAAACACAATTAAGACGAGATGTACGATCGGTCAAATCCGAGGGGGATTTCGTTGCGGTAATTTAGAATAACACAGTTGTGGAAATTTTTCGGGAAATGAGTAGTAATTACCGGTAATCAGTGGGGGTATAGTTTTGGAGGTAATAAGCGGATATTTTGCAGTAATAATTTGTCAAAATATACTTTGCTATAAGGTGACAGGTGATATATTGCAAAAAAGTTAATAATAAAATATCTCTTTTTTTAAGTCAACAATCTGATATGTTTAGTTGGTCGAAAAAGTAACGTGTAACTGGTATATTTTCTATCGA